CCCTATTTTCAAAAACTGAAATGAAGCTTCTGATTGTAAACCATGAAATTATATGAAAAATAAATATCAGAATATTAGGTTTCTTTCTTATTTAATTAAATGTATTTTTTTTATATTTAAATAAAAGTATTTTTCTAGATATTACGGTGAAAAAATTGGGGATCAGAATACATGTTTTTTATACGTATCTTTTCAAACATTGTTATGTCTTATTATACGAAATGTGTTGTAAAATACTTCAGTTGACATACTCTTATCCCTTCTTAGAGTAAGTGTACAAACGTGCACTTACTCTTAGTGTTTACTCATACGAGCATAAAAAAAACTACAATCCAAAAACCTAAGTAATTAGACCTGTAAAATGTTCACGTGGATTGGGTCAACAACAAAAAATTAAATGAAAAAATATTGTATTGTTTAGTATTTTTTTAATGTAGTAACATGTAACAAGAAAACCAATAATTTAAACTAAAAATACAATTAGCTCAGGGCAATGTATAGTCACAGCAATAACAAATACATTTTTTTAACAATTTTATTTACTTATTTTTAATAATATCAATAACTTTAACTCTCTGTAGAATTATAGTAGGATTTTTTTTCATTAATAATTTTAGACAATTTGATTTCTGTAAAATAATTGTTTGCTTTGCATGTAAGTAACAGGAAGCAAGAATATAAAATATTATTGCTTTTTCGTAATTGATTTAATTCAATAATTAGTTATGAAAGTTTCAATTTTAAATTATTATTCTATTTTTTGCGTAATTTTTTAAATATTATAGATTCATGGTTTTTACATTATTTAAATAAAAAAAAATATATTACTGATAGTTTGTACTTTTTTTTTAAAGTTGGTGTACATACTTTGGTTTGTAACGCGTTCTGCTTTGATATAAGGTCTTTATGGCTCTGAATTGTACGGGTTTTTCCCAGATTTTATAACTTAAAAATGTTATAAATTTAGTGGATTCTAAATATATAATAAAAAAAACTCTAAATGATAGTTAAAAAATTTTATTGTAAACAAAAATACATTTTTATTAAATTGAAAAAAATTTTTTTTTTTTAGTTATCAGTAATTTTATGAAAATTGTTGACTGTAAATACTATATAAGTCTATAAATTGTAAATTAGAAATCTTTTAATTATATCATTTGAAATTGACACTAAAAAATTAACTTATGTTGCTATAATTTAAGACCACTTAACTAAAAAAAATGGGTTCTATAATCCCTGAATTATACCTAAAAACGTTTCTGCTTAGGTGCTCACATAAAATATGTCACACGAGTTTTATTATTAGACATAAAAATATATATTATAATGAATAATGTTTAAAAAGGTGTCTGAAAAAACAAATAGAGCGTAAACTCGAACATATATATTAAATAGGGTTTCACAAAATGAATACCAAATGCCACATCTACCACAAAAACAGTTTTTTTTTTATTATATTATGAAATTATGAATACTAACTGGACCAGTACCCTGATTTTTTTCATACTTCAGTTTTACAAAATATAATTTTGTTATAAAAACATAATTGAATCACTTTTATACTTTTTGCGTTTATAAATAATAAAGTATTTGTAATTAAAAGCTTTAATTGAGTTTTATTTAATTGAATCCTATCATAATTCAGTCAACTCATATTTATAATACATGTGTCTAAATGTATAATAAGTCAAAATATAATTTTAATAATTATTAGATTAGAAGGCTATCATGAACATGCTATACGATTTTATTCATGAAAATTGGTCTTTCATAAAAAATTATTTATATGTAAATATATATAAATTTATAATTATATAAGTTGTTATTAATTGTTAGATTCATTTATTACAATTTTATAAGGTATGATCAATTATAGTATACATTTTTGAACCAAAATTGTAAAATACTCTTATTTTTGAACTTCATCATAAAAAATAATTAATCATTCTTCGCCGATATGACAAGTTAAGAATTTTTCTTAGGTATAATACGCAAATAAGTTTTTGTTTGCACAAAACTCTAAAGTTCAACATATATTCCATTAAAAACTCTTTAATTGGCACTAAAGTTATTTTTAGGCGAACAAGTTTCAAAATGAATGTTTTATAAAATATAAAGAGATAGTATGATGTTTATAGTTGTATCATGAAAAACATTAATAGAAATCATCATGTTTGTAAACTCTACAAAATATTATTTTAAAAAATGCTATTATCAGCATTCTTAATGTTCGACAACAGTTTATACACTTAACAAAAATAAACAACGAAATTTTCAATAATAAAATGACAGGATTATTTCTCATTTGTTATCATAATGTAATTTATAGTCATTAAACAGAAAATTTATTAATTTATTTTTAATAAAAATAGTGAACATTAAATTAAAAAAAAATATATCAATAACATATTTTCACATTACTATGAACATTTATTTCATAGTAATATGGTGCAAACAAATAATTAGCTTTTTATTTTTATAGTTTAAAATTATTTTATTGAACTAATCAGAATTACTTTATTTTAAATTTGTACTATCTATGTAATATGCTTCTAAAAAAAGTAAATAAAAAATTAGTTTATGAGTTGAGGTAATTTTTAAATAAACAAAATTATAACATATTGAAATATTTAAAAGAAATTAATTATAATTTATTTCGAAAAAAGCTATAATAATAAGATTAAATAGTCATTAGAATAATAAGGTTGACACAATAATGCGAATGGAAACTTAATCATTATGTCTGCGTAATTTATTAATTAATATTATTATAATTTTTTTTTCTACAGCAAAAATCATAATTAATAAAAGTTTTTTTAACATAATGATTTTATTTCGAATTTTGTATTTCTTTATTTGTTGATTCTTCAGTTAAATTTATTCGTGTTTAAATTCCAAAAATCACACTAAGCACTTTTTTTTTAATATATTTATTTCTCTTTTTTATATTTCTTTATTCTCCTTCAAACTTAACTTAGTAGAATGAAAGTTTCCTATTTAATAAAGTTAGTTTATAGTGAAAAAATATTGATTTCTTATGAAGTAAAAAGTTTTGTTTGTTAAATATCAGAATGGTAGGGGTTTACTTAACGTCGATGGAACAAAATTACTATATAATTTTTTTTTTACTAAGAAAGGAATGTTATATTTTAATTGATGAAAACAATTTATAAGTTTAAAATTTATTTTAATTTGTTTCGGTACCAATGTAATAAAAAGTATGAACAAATTGTATAGTTTATGAAAGCGAAAAAAGTCGGACACAAGTTTTATTGAAGACAATTAAATATTTTGATGTATTAAAATATATTTATTATATTGAATGCATTCAATATTTAGTGTTAAGTTTAAATATGAGTTGTGATTACAATTTTTCTTTATTTATTAACAAAACTTTTTAAATATAAACAAAAATTCAACAAAAAAAATATGAATCATGTGTGTAACGCTGATGATGGCAACATTGTTTCCTAATTACGTTCAGGTGTTCTCTTAAAATAATAATCATGATAAGAAAATTCATTTTGATCTTTTGAAGTTTCATATATTTCTCAATTATTAAATATTTTGTTAAATTAGTTTTCATGAATAAATTTTACTTTACTAAAAAAAAGGCACTTGTTAAACATTAAATTGGATGGCACTGCCCGCATAGCAAATACGTTATAATTATTTTAAAGCAAATATTGAAAAAAATATCTTATAAATGTAGTAAAAACATTATCAATTTCAAATATTTCTACAATTAGCTCACAAAATAATATTTAAAATATTTATTCATGTATATAATGAGAATATATATATTCTCATTATTCTACATGTATTTCCTTTATTATAAAAAAGAAAAAAAAAATAGAATATTGAACAAACAATATTTCTAACAATATTACATTCATTCATAATATATTTATGCAATTTAAACAGTTTAAATTATAATTCATTACATTTTTCTTAATTTTATAAATGGGTATTATCAGTGGCGTAGCGAAGTCATTATTTTAATTACTTGGACAACCAAGTTGTTTTAACTGGCTAATTAACTTTCTAGTCACCGATTATAAATTTAATAAAAGTCTATTTGACCAATAGTAATATTAAAAAGAAATATATTGTGAACAGACTAAGATAACTTGTTCATTTATAGTTGCGGCCTTGAATGTTATTGGTATCTACTTAGTTGGTTGAATAAATATTGTTTTGTATTATATACACAAAGTCCTAGATCCTAAGTAAATTGTAGTTTTCTCTATTAAATATCAATTTTGTTTGTCATAATTCAGTTAAGCTGGAAAAATCGTAAAACGCCTTCATTGCTAATGTACGCAAGACTGTGCTATTGAGTTAAAAGTCTTTTGTACACCGTGACTGTACCTTATCAATATTCTACAATACTCAAATCCCTAAACATTTATTTATTATAATTATAACTCTATAATATATAATTATATATTTAATAACCTAGTTATCACAAAGTTTAAGGTGTGGATTTTAAATATGGAATTTCAGTTACTAGTATACCACAAACGTTAGAAACAAATCTATTTGAAAAAGTTAAAATTGGATTTATTATTTATTATAAATTTAATAATGATTTGGATTTTTGAATTTATAATTAAAATGAAAATAAGTTTTCCATATTTATTTTATTAATCTGACGATGCAGATAAATATCTATATATTAAATTTAATCTACTTATAAATAATAATTATACTAATATTATAAAAACATATTGTCTAAAATATTTTCTGTTTTTTTTTTTAGAAAACTCCTTTAATATATTTTGATGATGTATATTCGTTGTTACAGTATATTCTAGTAATATTCTATATATATATTTTAATACTAAAAAGAAATATTTCTATCTAAGGGATATAGTTGTGTGACGTAATTTGAAATTGTGAATTAATAATAGTTGTTTTTATTTTTTCAGAATAAATTATTTGTTAAAAAAAAAAAATGAATTACTGAAAAAAATCACATAATGATTAAAATTACTCACGTTAGCATTTTGATGAGCGGTATCTGTGTGGTTTTCGTGGGACTGTCCAGAGGTCCTCTGCCGAAGTCGGGCCAGGGCACTCTTCAGCCCTTCCGTTTTTGGCCTACCGATGTACTAACCAAACCATCTCTGCGGTCTAGCACTCGCTGCCGACACCCCAATAACTAATTTCTGACATCTATAAAAGATTATTTATTTTTATAAATTTGACTAATATTTAAGATGAAATAGATAAGTGTATTTTAAAATATCTAGTGCGTTTTAATTGCAATGAACTTATTTTGTTTTCATTAAATTTCATCATATCATTTTTAAGTTCTGTTTTAATTTTTTTCGCTTTTTACGCTAACTTGTTTAAACATTAATGAACCGTTTAAACAAATAGGTATACTTTGGACTTTTAAGATCATTACTAAGTAACAGCTTTTTAATGGAAAATAAATGACATTAAAATAATTTGACTTTTTTATTAATTCACTTTTTGTCAACGTTACTCGTCAGTTAATAAAATGTAATTACTTTTGCATTAGCACTAATTTAATGATATTTTCTAAAACCTAAAGTGAGTTTAAGAAGATAAAAAAAAAATAAGATTCTGAAATAAATAAACCAAAAATGGGTCGACCAATTAATGGTTATCTTAAATCGTTCAGCACTTTTGTTAATGCGTCAAGTTTATAGGATAACAAAATACCTGTATAGTTTACTTTATTTATATATTTTTATGTGTCTGTTAGATTTTATATGAAGAACGACATCAATCAGTATATAGGAAAATAAGCGTTCATTAATGAACACTTATTTTACACTATTATATTACTTCTCAAATGAGGAACAATATAATAGTCGATAATGTTATTTATCAGCACTCGTTTCTGTCATAATAACTTCTTTAGTAGTTGCCATGTCCACGAGATTTGTAATTGTAGTTTAAAATCAGAAGTGTCTTCTTTTAGTAGTATTTTGCCATAAATCATCCCTACTAGAAATATATCACGCGTAGGAGTAGTGAAATCTGACGAGAATTTACATTTTGGTTTTTGACAAGAGTATGCCATTCCGTAACTGTTTCATTGGTACGTTGTTCTGTCAGATAAAATGTATACCTAAATAATATTTAGCCTCAAAATGCGATTTTACCGGTTTGTAATATTTACTTAGAAGATTTAACAATGCATTGTATACTTAAATGTCTGTTGTGATAGATATCCCCAAACTAAATAAAATGTTGCGAATTTCTTCACTTGTAGGAAAGACGAAATTCTTTTATACTTTATACTTAGTTTACGATTCCATTTGCCAAAAAGAAATTTGTTAATTTCGGTTCGAAAGTAGTCACATCCATTGACGATTCGAATATACTCGGAGTGCCATTAATTTAACTAAAACTCACCGAGTCAGTCAGACATTCTAGTACATAAAGGCAATTCACTTTTTAAATATAAAATTATAATATATATTAAATTATAATTAATAGCTATTAAAATCACATAAATGGGTTATCGCAGGTTTAGCCATTTTTAATGACTTAATCAAATATAAAAATATCGCAAATATATTGTGTCACTTATTTTAAAAATATTTCTTTAAGTTTTAGACCACTTTAAAAGCATATTTTTTTGTTATTTTTCTCTGTTAAGAAAAAATAAAAATAAATTTTTAAAAATTTTAAAACATACTATGTTCAATAATTTTAAAAACACTGATGTTAACATTATTTTCGAATACATATACACAATTTATTAGTATCTGTAATGACATTTAGAGTAAAATATTTCAAATATTGTTTAGTTTTAGAGTAATATGTTAAATATATTTTCAATTTTAAATAATATTAACAAAAATTAATCAATTCTTACTATATAAGAATATCTGCGGTGATTAATAATAATTGTAAACTGTATTTTTTTATTTAGTAAACTCATTTGAACTTAATCAATAAAGTTTATACTGTTATTCAGGGCGATTCACTAGTTATGCCTCACTAGATATCACGGAATATTTTTAAAATTTAAGCACTAATTACTATTGTTATTATTTTTGTAACACTAATAGTTATTTCTTAAACTACTGTATGAGAAAAATTAAATTTCCACTATCATACTTAATACCTTATACTATCATCAAATTTTGTTTTTTCAAGTGGTAACGTTATTTTTATTTACCATAATATTAAATTTTATAACAAAAAAAAAAAATTGTAGGAATTTTATTTTAATCAATTCCCGATGAATCACGAGCCTTTTAAGTTTACGGAAGATAAAAAACGAGCATTTATCTATTTAAAGTGTAAACGTTATAAATCGATAATCCCAACAATTGTTAGGGAAACAATCGATATATGCTGTGATAATATTGCCGTCTTTTAAAAATAATTAAAATTTTTTTCTGATTGCCCTTAAACTTTATACATATGTAACTCGTTGAAAATTCAATAAAATAAAATAAATATTGTTTTTGATTGAATAAATCTGATGACATAAATATTGGGGTTGCTTTAAGGTATAAAGGATTATTGTTGAAAAATAAAACAATAATTAGCACTAATATTTTCGAAAATATTTTGTAGGCGTAGTTCAAAAATTACACCCTTTAATATTAGCTGAAAGTTTGTGTAGAGGTCAATGGTAGATCAATTGTTTTGACCTATTATTCGTTCATATTTATAATTATTTGTGGGTACACTTGGTAAAGCTATTACGTTCAGTTATCGATTATTCAAGGGGGGGGGGTGGATTAGCTGAATGTTGAGGTAGAATGAAAAGAAATAACTGTTCAGAATGGCATTCTATTGGTTTTAAGAGACTGTGAGCTTTTATTATTTTTTCTGATCTCGTATTGAAACGAACCACTCTTAACTTGGTCGACATTTTTTTTCGTATGTAAATTTTATATTATCTCTTGTGGACCACTGCCGAACTAAGATGATTTTTGCCCTATTCAAGTATACATTGCAGTACATAACGTGGACAACGTGATTGGAATATAATTCCGACGAATTTGTATGCTGTTTGCTTTGATAAATTAGTTTGCGACCTGTTTACTTACATATAGATGAAATAGTAATTTTATTAAAAAAAATCGGAGTATAATTTTAAAACTAACGGTAATATGATAAAAGCAATTATTGCTAAATTATACATTAACAAGTACAATAAATTTGTTATGGCATTTGATTGGTCACTGGAATAGTAGTGATAAAAATCGTTTACATCATCGGGTACAAAATCATGTACCCGTGAATAATAGTAAAATTATATGCACAATGTTTATTATTTCCACTTCCTTTTTTAAATTTATAAAAAACTAAACCGTCAAATTGAAAATGAAAACAAATATCACTATTAAAAAAAAAAAAAATTTATAATTAAGACAGTTTTTAAAATGAAATGGGTTTTATTAAGTATTTATTCTGTTTTGATATTTTTCTATTATTTTGTATGTAATGAAATCATTTCAATGTGATCATAAATAATTTTTAAGTTTCGGTTATGTTAAGCTAAGTTAAGGCAATTAATAAAAAATAATCTATTAGAAGAAATAATTAAACATTCCTACCTATAATACTTTAAAAATATTTAAAATAGTATAATATTTTATTTTTCCACAAAATGTTTGTTGTTTGAGAACATTTTTCTATTAACAAGTTACCTATTACGTTCACGATATAATATTCATAAATGCTGTAAAAATTTCTTTTTTTCACTCTAGACGTGAAAAAGTTTTCATTTAATTTTACAATTTATTCTTTAAATGGTTTTGTTGTTAAAAAATGAACGGTTGTAATTTACATTTTAATATACACGCCTTTTAAATCATTTTACTAAAAGGAAATGTTTTATTATATATATATATATATATATATAAAGACTCGGTGTGAATTATATTGTTTTGTTAAAACTATACTAAAATACATTTAAAAAAAAAAGACATTTTAGTTTAAAATATTTAGAAACTGTGTCGCCTTTATGATCCTTTTAAGTAAGTGCTTGTTTATAATTATTCAACTGTACTTAAAATGCATGTTGTTTCTGTTTATTAAACAATAAATCAATGCATTACGGTTGTAATTATAACAATAATAATTATAACACGAATAACAATATCGTTGTGTGAAAATACATTGTTAACTTGCACAATATTTATAAATGGGTAAAAACGTATTTTTCACAGTATCTGACAAGGTGTTTCAAGGGGCTGATGAGAACGATTTTTTTTCCATCTCATTCCATCCGGATAGGCTTGTACTGTCTAAAAACTGTTATATGCTTCGAGGGAAATACATAAGAGAATAACGCACCCCATGAGCTTCTTTCTGAGTCGTATAGCTCCTAGTGTTCCCTGGAGACTCTCAAAGAAACGAAACGTTTCCAATAGAACAGGCAAAACCGTCAAATTCCTCTAGGGGTAGATTTTTCGATCCTTGTTGATGGGTAAAATTTAGACATCAACATAGTATATAACCGATTTTTTAAAAATAAAACCATTTGATTGATTGATTGTTGTGCATCATTTAAGTTACGTTTGAATATATTTTAGTATAATGAATTGTACAAACCTGAATTGTATAAAACCTTTTGAAATATAATATAAAATAAAAAAAATATGTTCTACAAAATAAACTTGCTCATAAGTATATTTAAAAGTGTAAAATAACATTACAGGATTAAGTACGTCGTTAAAAAGTTCTCATTTTTTTTAATTCTTATGAGTCATTGTATCTAAAAATGTTAATTAGCATCGTAACTAGAAATATGAACTGAAAAAAAATTAAAAGTTTAATTAGAATCACTACCCATTTTTTGCAATGTCAATATAATAATAACAAATGTTGAATATATTCATACAAGCTTAGACTGGGCAATAGCTGGAACTGATTTGATTCTTAAATGAGAAATTCGTCTATTTACTTACAATTTTAAGTATTTGGTCAAAATATTTTAATATATTTTCTTTCGGTCATTTCTATTATGCACGTCATATGAGTAAAAGCATATATATATATATATGTGGAAATGCTAATTTAATAAGCTGGTATCAAAAATTATGTGGAGCGTCATATTTATTACTGAATCCCCTTTTGTTTTAAACTTATGATATATTGATTATGCTTTCTAAAATGATGATATAACTTTTTTATGAATTTCGAAAACTGTCATAATTATTTTAAAATAGTAT